CTTCTACTGTGTGCAGTTTTTCATATTTAAATTTATGAGTTATGAATAATAAATTTGAGCCGGTTCAATTACTATATAATATTAGTATATAATAATAAATTAAAATGAAAGACTAGAGCACGCCCACTTACTAGCCAAGCTACTGCCTGCCTCAATCGAGCTTTTAACTGGACTAATCATATTCAGTATGGTTTAAGTCTGAATGCCACCTCTAAGGACGACATTAATCAACTATTTTTTTAATGGGTTTTTCTATAGAGTGCCCATGGGCACTCTATAAGAGAGGAGAGAGATAAAGAAAAGTGAATTGCCCATAGAATTTAGTGCAAATCAGGAGGGCCCATGGGCAATTCACTTCTCTCTATCTCTCTCCTCTCTTATAGAGTGCTCATGGACACTCTATAGAAAAACTCTTTTTTAATTAGTTATGCTTTTCTTTCTGCTGGCTTGGACTTTTGTCAAATTATTTGTTTACAAATTGGAGTTGAACAACGATAATAACAATATATATATGTTTGGGTCAAAAGTTGATTTCATTTGCCAACAAACTCATTACAACCGTTTATCGATTACAAGTTCGAAAAAAAGAGAAAAGTCAATCTTTTTATAAGATCTCCTTATACAATGAAAATAAAAGATTATAACTCTAGTCAAACTACACACAACAGCAGTTTAGCTCCTGTTGTTTGCGTGGGAACTTCGCGTGTGCCGGGGACGCGTTAGTCCGTGGATCGTCGCTGATCAGATCCAGTTAACAGAAAAAGTTAATCAAAGCTCCTACTTCACGAAGGAAGTAATTGCAGAAGCAGTAATCCCGACCAAGCGAGATTACGACTCTTCTAGAGATTAAGACCAAGCTTGATTCGGAGGAAAGGGTGTAAGGGTCTCAGATCTCTCGAAATCCACTCTTTATGCACAGGAAATCGCCGAGATCTAGCTAACCCTCTTTGAAATTCTTGGCTATGCCCTCACAAAACCAGCAGCACCTCCCCCTCTTGATTATTTTTTCGCCCTTGAGAAATGAGCCCACAGGCTTGTATTTATAGGCTTCGGTTGGGGGTTTTGGATAAGAATGATGGATTCAGTCTTATCTTCAGTTAATAACCGTGTAACCATGTTTGGAGATGATATCTATGTAGTTAGGAACCTCTGGAATAGAAGAAATCCCGTGAAAACCCGTCAAAAATCCAAAAACGTGTTTTTGGCTCAAACATGGCCGAACCACTATTTGGTGGCTCGGCCTTGGCCGAGCCACTGATTCTGAGTCATTTTGATGTGACTCGGCCGCCAGCGGCTATTTTAGTCTTTCGGGTTTTGACTTGTTACGTCGTTTACGCGTATTTCGTCATTTCGTTGACTTGTACGCTTCTCGGATTCGGTTCATACGTTTAGTGAACGCGCGGATTGCTTGACGGTGACCGACGGACGTGCATGCCACTTGGTTCGCCGTTTTGGTGGCCGATGAGCATACAGACCACTTGGCGGTGCCTGGTGAGCACGCGGACCACTTGGATCTGGCTGACGAGTGCGCGGGCCACTTGGAGGTGGCCAGTGAGCGCACGGGTTACTTGGTTTGCCGTTTTGGTGGCCGATGAGCGGCGGACCACTTTGCTGGTGGCCGGTGAGCCCGCGGGGCCACTTGAGCGGCGGACCGAGGGTGCGCGGACCACTGAGATGGTCGGATAGCGCACGGGTATTGGTGGCATTTTGGTGGCCAATCAGGGTGCGGACGCACTTGGCGGTGGCCTGTGAGCACGCGGGCCACTTAGAGCTGGCTGACGAGTGCGTGGGCTACTTGGAGGTGGCCGGTAAATGCACGGGCCAATCGTTTTGCCATTCTGGTGGCTGATGATCGTGCGGGCCACTTGGCGGTGGCCGGTGAGAACACGGGCCACTCGAATAAACCTCCTCGACTTGGATGATGACGTTTATCGTCATCTCTTCATCTCAAGCTGCGTGCGGGAACCTATAGGCATTTTTAGATGCCTACAGATACTCCCTCCAAAGTATTTCAGCCTCATTCCTTTATAGAAGAGTCTAAAATAATTTGGATGTGATAGGCCCCACCTTCAGTCGGTGTCAAAGGACCCGTAGTTGGCTTCAATTCTTGACTTCTTTGATTTTCAGTCTATTCTATATTTTGACGAATAGCTAAAATTCCTCTGACGCTGCATTTATCGTCTGGCTGTTGTCGAAGTCTCGAATCGAAACTGATGAGTTGGTTTTGGCTCGTGTTGTTGAGTTGACTTTGAATTGACTATCTTCATCGGAAATTCATATCTGAACTTTGGGATTGATCGGAGGCTACGTGTTGACCGGCGTTGACCTTCGTCACAACGCGTTGACCGGCATTGACCTAGGATTACGCGTTGATCGGTGTTGACCTGTGTTGACCTCATTTGTCAACTGGAGTCTATACAGTTTAGGCTCTTAAGATGTTAGAGCGGGGAGAACCAGTTTATATTCGTATACTCCTGGGAGTTGCGGGAATCAGTTTAACCTCGTGTACTCGTTGGAGATTCAAGGAGATACAATTTAGACTCTTATACTCATCAGATTGTGGCGGTCCCAAATGTTGGGGCTGCAGGACCAACTGTTAAAGCTGATTCATCTGTATGTATGGATTTTATCTTGAAGTTGTTGGATCCTCAAGTCACGAGACCAACTAATGGAACTGGTACGTCAATGTCTTTCATATTTATAAGATTTTTGGTAAACCCTCAACCATCAACGGGTTTGATGAGTCTTTACCGACTACCGTTTGAATCGGGCTAGCATGCAGATTGTTTAAGTCTGTTATGCATGTAACGTTATGCTAAAAGAGTTAATCCTTTTAGTACTACGATATTAAATATGTAGACTTCGTCTTTCTTACGGGAATAGACTACCCGATAACGCATGTTAGGTGATGACTTATCCTTTCTTAGGATTCGGGATAAAAGTCCCCACACTTGAATTCTGGTATTTTTTTCACTCGACGAAAGACTAAACCAGCAACGCGTGTTAGGCGTAGGCTTATCTCTATTTAGGAGTCGAGATAAAGTTCCCCACTTGTGTAAGGCGCGGATTTTGCCGTTATTAATAGCGGCCTACCTGTAGGGTCGAAAAAATTTAAGATTGATTGATTCTCTTATTTTAAGAAAACCGGGTTC